AATGACCTCCTCTCCTTTTACTGAATGCCAATGCAAATATTTATGTTCTATAGGGGAAATTAGAAATATGCCTGAATTTAGGACACTGTCTGCTTGGAAGAATTGAAAAAAAATGAAGGGGTTAAATTTAGTGCACTAAAAACATTTAATTATATTCATTATCTGTACAAGAAAAACAGTCTCAAATCTTTCCTGATGTTACAGGAAGAATTTAATCTCCCTCAACAAAATTTTAATAGCACCAACAAGTACAACATGCTTTTGCAAGTTGTCAAGCTCATACTAGAATACTTACAGTGATGGACATGCTCCTTGTGACAGACTTTTTCCAGACTGACTCTAGGAAATGGTTCATAGTCCACTTATATGCACTCTTAAAGAGGACCTCCTCTGCCACACTATAAATCTGGCAATATTGTTATTTCCCCACTACATATTTCCATGTGTGTAACTCCACATGCAGATAAACCTTCCTATTCTGCAATAAGCCAGACTGAATGTAATCTTGAAGCTTTATTAACAGAACAGAGTGGGTGAAACTATTGAAAAAAAAAAAAAACCAGATAAATGCATAATATCAATGTATGAAGCATACAGAAAACCCAATGAATAATTAGACTGCAGATGGCAGTAAGTCCATGCTTACCAGCGAAGCTGCCTGTAGGGAGTGTAAGTTCAGTTCACAACATGTGCTTCGGGGATGGTGGTTGATTTCCTTTACCTCAGTTCTTAAAGTTGGCTCCAACTAGTGACCAAATTTAATAATGCAGGCAGGACTGGTGTAATGAATTTCCCTGCTGGAGGAAGAACAAATGTATTAGGGGGAAATAAACAAGTATACCTACTTTATGTCTTTTTTTTTTTTTTTTTTTTTTTTACCATTTTCTTGCTTTCTATGTGCTGCCTTCATCCCCACTTCCACGCCACCATAATGAAAGACATGTTGTCACGAGCCTCATCTCCCACATACGGTGTAGGACACTCTGTTGAAATGAAATAAATACTGCAAGACTTTGTAGTTTAGGCACAAGATTTCTCTGGAGGCCTGCTGGGTCTCCCACAACAAATCTCAAACAGCCTCATTTTCAAGCTTGAATGGTGTCTTAGGCCCAGCAGACAGTGCTGGAAGGTGTCTGTATCTCTTTCACATAAACCCAGACAAAAATTTACTCAGAAATTAATTGAAAGGCAGCACAGAGATACTCCAGACCATCCAACATTTGCTATGTTGCAGTTCTGATCTGTAAAATTCCCAAATTAGAATGGCAGCTCAGCTGCAGTAGCCAGCTGCACACTGTCCATATAAAAAAAGAGCCACTACTGCGCTGATCTTTAATGCAAGAACCTCTCGTGGGCTGAATAGCACAGTACTACAGATACAGAGTTGGTGTTGCAGCTCTTCAGGTACTCCACTGGGTGGAAGAAGATAATCTGAAAAAAAAAAAAAACAGCCCACAGCCACCCTAGTGTAACTCCATTTTAATATGTTATAAAAACTTAAAAACAATTGCACTCACATGATACAATGATTCATATCCTGAGTATTGGAAGCAGCAGATGGAGAGTGCGCGTGCGCCAGCTGGTCTGGGTGCATGCGCGGTAGAGGCTGCATGCCGCGAATTGTGAGCGGTCATCCTGGGGAGATCTGTAATCGTCCTATCTCACCCTCTGCCTTACTGCTGCACCCTGGCAAGGAGCCAAGGAAAATGGACCACAGATCAATATGCCTATGAATCATTGTGTCATGTGATTTCTATTGTTTTTAAGGTTTATAGACCATATTAAAACGGAGTTACATTAGGGCTGCTCTATTTTCTTGCTTTTCTTCAGCTACATACTGTGCAGACTGAAGCTATGTCTGTAAAAGAAGCCAATCTCATTTATGTGCTGCGTGGGGAGGAGCTCTATCAAGTGTCATGCCAGCAGTGACCCCTTTCTTTTGCCCTGTTGACCTCTGTTCACATCCTTACTGACCCGTGTCCTGTTATGCTGACCCCTGTCTTTTGCCCTGATGACCCCTGTCCTCTACCCTACTGACCCCCTGCACATTGCCCTACTGACTCCTGTACACTACCCTGCTGACCTCTCTTCCTCGGACCTGCTAACCCATTGTACACTGCCCTACAAACTGTGGACCCTATTTGCTGCTTTGCTAAACCCCTGTACACTACTCTGCTCACCTCCTATCCTGATAATTTTTACTGCACCCCCACGTCAGACACGCTAGATCCGACTCACTAAAATTATGTAAAACTGTGTGAAGTGTGAGAACTGAATAATCTGTACTGTATTAAAACAAAAGTGTATCAGGGCAAACTCTTCAGAATTGTCCATTTTTATTTACGATTTTTATTATTGATTTTAGCAAAAATAAAGTAACTATTTGATTTAAAAAAATTATTTATCTTCTCTGAAGCGTTAAACCCCTGACTGTTGAGTGAGGAAAAAGTAATGCAATTGCTATTTGTAAATTATAAGTTAAGTTACAAAATATATTATTCAATGATGTCCCAGGTTGGGCCAGAGTAGGAAGAGAAGATTAGGAAGAAAGACAAGAAATGAGGAGAAAAAAAAAGAAAAGTTAGAGAAAACAAGAGATTTAAACTAGTAACTCATGTAACCAGTCTATACAGTTTCAGCATGGTATACTGAAAGCAGAGCAAGTGATGCCATCTGGTGGTTGGACGGTAAGCTGGACATAGAGACTACCATAATGAAGAACGTTATCCCTAGACACAAAGGTTCAGTGCATCCATGGGCACTGAGAGCCCTAAATGAGGGAAATTTGGAAATCCCATGAAGCGACGCCCACCTCTGGATAATATGAACACTATAAAAATTGACAGAGGGTCAGTTTTTGTAGCAAAACTTTACACATTCAGTCTCTTGTATGGGTTAGGAAATAACTATATACCGTATTTTTCGCTCCATAAGACGCACCTGACCATAAGATGCACCTAGGTTTTGGAGGAGGAAAACAAGAAAAAAAATATTCTGAACCAATGAACTGCAGACACGGTACAGGAGATGACCGGAGACTGCAGACACGGTACAGGAGATGACCAGAGACTGCGGACACGGTACAGGAGATGACCGGAGACTGCGGACACGGTACAGGAGATGACCGGAGACTGCGGACACGGTACAGGGTATGACCGGAGACTGCGGACACGGTACAGGGTATGACCGGAGACTGCGGACACGGTACAGGGTGCCCACTGCACATGCGCGAGAAGCGCTGTGCTTGGTCTGGCATCTTCTGGGACCTGTCACTGTCACAGCCGAGAGCCCACACTAAAGATACCAGCGCGGGAAGACTGTACAGCGCTGGACCGAAGAACAGGTAAGGTTCTACTGCAGAGAAGAGACTAGTGGCCGGCCCGATATTCTGACACGGCGGGGGCAATATCAGACTGGCCGCTCCATATTCACTCCATAAGACGCACTGACATTTTTCCCTCTTTTTTTGGGGGGAAAAAGTGCATCTTATGGAGCGAAAAATACGGTAATAGCCAAGAGACTACAAGATGCAGTATGTACTCTGAAACACATTTTCCTATATCATGTCAGGAATGGACTGGCCAGCAATAGTGGGACTCAGCTGCCTTATGAGCTGCAGTACCAGGGCTGGCCAGCGGGTGCTCCCAGCAATCAGACTCAACCTTGCAGCCAGTCAAACACCTGGAACTAATTATACTGGTGTATTTAAGGGACATTCAGACCTGCAGACTCTGCCTTGGTGTTGTGTTTCTCTTGGGCCCTGTATCCTGTTCCTGCTCTCTGTTCCTGTCTGATTCTCTGCTGACCCTGCTCTGATCCCTGGCTTGTCTGACCATTCTCCTCTGCCTGACCCTCTGTACCACGCTGCCCGCTACCTGCTGAACCTGGCCTGTGACCCCGACCATTCTCCGCTTGCTCCCCCTGTACCTACCTGCCCGACTGTTATTGACCCGACCTGCCTGACGACGCTTGCATTGTATGTACTGTTATCTGTGGGTGGTTTGGTTTGGTTTGTTTGCACTGTGTTATGTTTTAGTATTGCACTGCGTTTATGTTTGTATGGTTAGTGTTAATAAATTACATTGTTTATAACATATCTGAAGTCTGCGTTTCCCTGCGTCAGTCACACACCTCTGGTCATACCCGGGAGCTCTGACATTACACCAAGGCCAATCCTGACCAGAAGTGGCTGCACAGGGAAGCCATCTTGGCTTGTTGATGGGAAGGATGGATCTGGATGAGGTTGCGTATTTATCTCTGCTAGTGTTTGATGACAGGGAGTATGCTTATCAAACTCTGAAGGAGTATACCCGGGATGAACTGCTAGAATGTATACGGCTCGCTCATGTTCTAGTAGATCAGGGCACAGAGTTCTCTGAGGTGCAGCCTTTGATTGAGGTTTGTGCTGAGTTGGTTTCATCTGGTACCCCCGAATGCAGGGATGAATTTTTGCCACCATTTAGTGCAGACCAGGTAGAGTCCCTGGTGTGGTTATTAGAGGATGATGTGGGTTACTTTCTGGAGCGTTATTCCCACATGTTCACCACAGACACTAAGATTGTATAAATGCAGTGCAGTCTTTGGTCAGACAGGCTTTGTGTAAGCTCAGCTTTGTTCAACCCATACTGCAGACATGGACAGACTTGTTGCACCCAGCCTCAGTCAGCTTACAAAAACCCAGTCCTGCTTCTAATCTATTTCCTCAAAACTCTATTCCTGCATTCCCAACAGCTCCTCCTGCCCTGCTATCTACCGCATGTCAGTACCCTGTTCCCACTCGCTGCACCTATCCTGACTTTAACCCTGTAAAAAAGTCCTCTGTAGCAACTGCTCCCCCTCCTGTTCCATCCTCCAGTTCTTCTCTGTCTCCAGCTGCTCCATTTGTTTGCAGACCTGCGTTTACTTGCAGTGCTCCAGTAGTTAAAACCAGAAAAAAGCGAAAATTCTTTCCAACCAATACCATCCTGCCAGTATCCAAACCGGTGAACCTGCCTTCCGTGGTTCAGCCTGAAGCCTCTACTCGGCCTGAAGCCTCTACTCGGCCTGAAGCCTCTACTCGGCCTGAAGCCTCTACTCGGCCTGAAGCCTCTACCCAGCATGATGAACTGATCCAGCCAGACGATCCAATGCCTGGTGACCCGGTGCCCACTGCCTTGCCAGATGACGCGGTGCCCGCTGGCAAGCCAAATGACCTGATGCCTGGTGACCCAGTGCCCGCTGTCATACCTGGTGACCCGATGCCCGCTGTCGAGCCAGACAATCCGGTACTTGATGACCCGGTGCCCACTGTCGTGCCTGTTGACTCGGAGCCCACTGCCTTGCCAGATGACGCGGTGCTCGCTGTCGAGCCAAATGACTTGATGCCTGGTGACCCGATGCCCGCTGTCCAGCCAGACGATCCAATGTCTGACCCAGTGCCCGCGGTCATACCAGTTGACTCGGAGCCCACTGCCTTGCCAGATGACGCGGTGCCCGCTGTCAAGCCAAATGACCTGATGCCTGGTGACCCGATGCCCGCTGTCCAGCCAGACGATCCAATGTCTGACCCAGTGCCAGCGGTCATGCCAGTTGACTCGGAGCCCACAGTCGTGCCTGGTGACTCGGCGCCCGCCGCTCCGCCTGGGGGTCCGGCGCGCGCCGCTCCGCCTGGGGGCCCGAGACCTGTCGCTCCGCCTGGGGGTCCGGCGCCCGTCGCTCCGCCTGAGGGCCCGAGACCTGTCGCTCCGCCTGGGGGTCCGGCGCCCGCCGCTCCGCCTGAGGGCCCGATACCTGTTGCTCCGCCTGGGGGTCCGGCGCCCGCCGCTCCGCCTGAGGGCCCGAGACCTGTCGCTCCGCCTGGGGGTCTGATGCCTGTCGCCCCTCCTGGGGGCCCGTCGCCCCGCCCGGGGACCCGATGCCGGTCTCCCCGCCCGGGGGCCCGGTGCCTGCTGCTCCGCCCGGGGGCCCGCTGTCTGCTGCTTTGCCTGGTAATCCGGTGTGCCTCTGCCCGGAGTCCGGCCCGGTGTGCCTCTGCCCGGAGTCCGGCCCGGTGTGCCTCTGCCCGGAGTCCGGCCCGGTGTGCCTCTGCCCGGAGTCCGGCCCGGTGTGCCTCTGCCCGGAGTCCGGCCCGGTGTGCCTCTGCCCGGAGTCCGGCCCGGTGTGCCAGTCTTTGATATCCCGCCAGTTACCAGACCCGGGCGGTGGAACATTTTGCCCAGCTAGGACTGTTTGGAGCGTCCTGAGGCTGCTCCTTGAGGGGGGGTACTGTCAGGAATGGACTGGCCAGCAATAGTGGGACTCAGCTGCCTTATGAGCTGCAGTACCAGGGCTGGCCAGCGGGTGCTCCCAGCAATCAGAGACTCAACCTTGCAGCCAGTCAAATACCTGGAACTAATTATACTGGTGTATTTAAGGGACATTCAGACCTGCAGACTCTGCCTTGGTGTTGTGTTTCTCTTGGGCCCTGTATCCTGTTCCTGCTCTCTGTTCCTGTCTGATTCTCTGCTGACCCTGCTCTGATTTCTGGCTTGTCTGACCATTCTCCTCTGCCTGACCCTCTGTACCACGCTGCCCGCTACCTGCTGAACCTGGCCTGTGACCCCGACCATTCTCCGCTTGCTCCCCCTGTACCTACCTGCCCGACTGATATTGACCCGGCCTGCCTGACGACGCTTGCATTGTATGTACTGTTATCTGTGGGTGGTTTGGTTTGGTTTGTTTGCACTGTGTTATGTTTTAGTATTGCACTGCGTTTATGTTTGTATGGTTAGTGTTAATAAATTACATTGTTTATAACATATCTGAAGTCTGCGTTTCCCTGCGTCAGTCACACACCTCTGGTCATACCGGGAGCTCTGACATATCAACATCAGTGGAAAAAGCAATGAACCAGTGTCATTTGCTCATAGGGATTTCACAGGATGTTAATTCGATATGAAGAAAAAGGAAAAAAAAAAAGGATGTGTGCTCTCTCAACCTGGGCAAGCAGGGCTGCTGTTAGAAACCACGGGGCCCCATACAGCCAACCTGACAGGGCCTGCTCCCTGCCCCCCCCCAAATAAAACCACAGTTTACGATGCTTCAGTTGTGAATGAACACAGTGAGTGATTGATACCAATCACTTATTGTGTTCATTCAGGAAAGGAAGGGGCAGGTAAATGTGACATATTTACAGGACCCTTCTCCCACTCTCCATCCTGAAGGATCCTATTGTGTGCTTGCAGCTGCTGGTAGGAAGCAGAGGAGAGAGGCAGTGGCACTGCGGGGTGGGGACCAATGTATGGTGAACAGGGATGGTCATGGGTACAGCATGGGGGCAATTACTGGAACCGATCCCCGTATGGCTTGCTCTGCAGCAGCTGAAAGCCAGCAGGAGGTAGAGGAGAAGAAGCCAACTTTCAGCTCCTGCAGAGAGAGCCATACAGAAGATTGGTTCCAGTAATTGCCCTCCACAATGAGCTGATCACCCTCCCTGTCCACATCCGATTAACCTAACTGCCTGGGCCCCCCTGTTGGCCTGGGCCCCGTACAAGAGGACTGGTGGTACCCCCTTATCCATGGCCCTGTGGGCAAGCAATAGGAGGTATGACTATAGTAGAAGGCAAAGGATCAAAACTATTCATGTGAATAATGGAAATAGTGCAAGAAGTCAGGAGCTCTGATGGCTCTGACTGATGTTCATTCTTCTGGATTTTTGTGAGCCATAAAGTGGACCTCTTTCATTCTGGCTTATTGCTCCCAGTGTGGTTTAGTTGGTAAGCTGGGTGTCAATGGCGTGAGAGACCAGTCAGACAAAAGCAATTTGGAACATGTGGCAAATGCCATGCCTGACCCCTGCCCTTCTCACCAACTCATGAAAAGGACTGGCCAATCTCACACTGCGCTGTCACTTGCATAACAGTGCCACTCTCAGCTGCACCCTGCACAGAGATTTTCCAGCTCACAGGACCACAATCTAGGTGCCGCAGCCTGAGATTGATTATCACTGGGTTAAGTTACTAAGCAAATAACTTTTTAAGCTACCACCACCAACTTTTGACTGAGAAGGCGGTAACTCATAATCTTAGCAATAACAAATATGAAAAATATCTGTACACACAGTCACCACAGACATGTATATTCAGAGGATTATATTACAGTAGCATTCAAGAGATATGGATTCTTTTAGTTTGCAATAAAGGCCTTAGGGACAGTTTTAATACTTTTCAAAACAGGGTTTAATGATGAAAAGGTAAAAATGGTGCAAATAAAATATTTACAGAAAAAAGTTTTACAAAGAAATAAAGAGAACAATAAAGCAATAGAGAATAAAGAGGGGTGGAATATGAAGAATACTTGCAAAGTCCTTGGTTGTAGCAGTGTCTAGTTGTCCAAGCAAAAATGGTGCCGTGGCTCTCTCAAGTCGGTTAGATGTTCTTGGGTTGATGTTAAAATGAGAGCTGTCAGAGGGTCCTGACATTTGCCTTTTCTGTAGTATCAAAGGGCTGTTGACAGAGACCATCTGACCTAGCATCTGATTTAAAGGGTGGTGGCTGGGTGGCACCATGTTTATGATTGGATTGGGCCCTCCCTTACACGCCATATTATATTATCTTCCACCATGTACAGGTTGTATTCTAGAAACCGGTAGATTATTGTTTAGCAGTATAGTTTGTGTCCAGGGATACCAAACACAGTATTTCAGAAGGGTCTGGTCACCCAGGAGGGAGGAGACTGCTTTCTACCCTTTTGTATGTGCTAATATGTGACCTTGATTTGTTCAGCATGATGTTCCGCATTCAAATATATACTTAATATTAATGTGCTTTGGTCCTGTTGGATCTTATGACTTCTGTGTGCATTTTGTTAAGTTGTGAATTGGGCAAAGGTCTCAGAGGTCGTCCACGCCTGGCTGCTTTCTGAGTAGATGTTTTATGGCACTTTATGCATTCCTAGTGCTTTAATTGCCTTACACATGTGTGACAGAACTGATGGATTTTGCCATGGTTTTACAACAGGTCAGAGGGAAGTGGTAATCTGAGTTTTTTTTTTTTTTTTTTTTTTTTTTTTTTTTTTTTTTTCTTTATGGTCAATAGAAACAGATATTCTGCCAGGCCTCAATTAGCGGTTTATAGCTCTGACAAAGGCCTGTTTGCAGGTGTCTGCTGTCCCTAATTTGAGATAACAGGCTCTTTTGAAGTGCATTAAAAGTTAAAGCTATGAATTCTATAGTTTGCAGGAGGAGAAAGGGGATAAGATCACTGAGCTCATGAAAAACAAAATGGCTGAGACCTTAGCAAGATGGCTGTCACCTACAACTTCCATGTGCCTAACGCACAACCATTATAGAATAGATCTTTTCCCAAAAAGACAGTAAGATCTCCCAGATATCAGAAGAAAGCTGCTTTTCCATTGTGATGGGCACTAAGTTGGGATGGAAAGAGCCTCTGTCATGGATTGGGCTTAAGAGATGTGTCCCAAATATAGGACATGGTACTCTTAGCCAGCAAACAATGCCAGCATCGTCAGGGTTTGTTGGATGAAAAATATGTAGATCATTAGGACATATATACCACTGTTCTTGGTGTCTAGCAGATGGTGAGAGTTTGTGGGCCAATTGAAGGGCCAATCAGAAGGTGAAATAGTTCTCGAGTTCTTTTTCCATTATGGGGTCTGGGGATAAAGATCTTGGAGAAGTAATTTATATAGTATAGATAGTTCATGGGTCAATCTCTGCACTTGTAAAAAAGAGCTTTTAGATTTGGTAAGTGATCTTTGTATGGGAGAAAGCAATTTGAAAGAATTAATAAATGTATGGAGTTATCTTTGTATCCAAAGAGGCCTTTCAGGTACCAGAGCAGGAGGTAAAGATTGTAGGGAGGAAAGTTCTTTATTAACCCTTTAGCTGCCAGAGCCGTTGTTGCATTTTTGTTTTTGCGCACGTTAAAAAAATTATTTTAGGCCTTAAGATTACACAACCCCTAGATATAATATAATTTCTGAAAGCAGGCACCCCAGAGAATAAAATATAGTGATAGTTCCACTGTTACTGGGGTGTTTGGAAGCAATCGGGTGGCAGCGCAGCCACCTGAGTGCTTCTGCCTGACAGCCAGGTGTCTGCCTATCATTTTTATACACAATCCCGGTGGCTGTAGCCACTGGATTGGGTGTAAAACCCCCTGCTTTCAGGTCCATATGACATATGGACCTGGAAGTGAAAGGGTTAAAGAGTAACTTCACATTCCCCTCTGGATGATCTATGTAAATTGCAGGGATTTTAACAAACTTTCTGCAGATTCCTACCTTTTTGTTATTCTGAGGAAAAAGCTGTTTGCGTTTGTGACAGATCCAACCGGGACAGGAGTTTTGGAGGGGACTGGGGGCTATTCTTTCACTCACTGATTACACTGTTCAACAGGTAAAAAGTTTTTGGCATAAAATTAGCTAATCTTACATAATTTTGCGGTGCTGAAAACGAAAATGACCCTAAAAAAATGTTGATTGGCTCTAGTTTCCATGATATATTCACCCATCTAATGACGTAAGCCATTCAAAATTATGATGCAACTTCAGCTGCATATTGCGCAGTTGATACTGGTGACCAATAGAAAATTGCATGTATACTGAGATGATGCAATATTAGCCTTTAATTGCATCACTTCACTGCATAAAAGCTGCAGTATCTGTAGCTGATTGTAGTTCGACAGCGTCTTTACATTTCGTTTTATGCTTATATAGGCTACTCGGTAATGCCTCGAACTTGTGTGAATAAAGCAGATAATTTCTGCTATATCTGCGGTGAAATAACTTTTATCTCACAAAAAAGGAGGATAACAGGAATGATTAAGAAAGCCTACAACTTGTATTTTGGTTGCAAGATAGGAGACCAGGACAAGAGCTGGGCACCACATATATGCTGCAATTCTTGTGGGACGGCACTGGAGCAATGGTTGAATGGAAAAAAGGCATCTATGCCTTTCGCTGTGCCAATGATTTGGAGAGAGCCAACAGATCATGTTAGTAATTGTTACTTTTGTATGGTGCCTCCAATTGTAAAAGGGCTAAATAAGAAGAAAAAGTTATCTGTGCACTATCCAAATATTCCATCGGCAATACGTCCAGTTCCTCATGGAGAGGGGCTACCAATTCCTAAAGCACCAGAATCCTTCGTGGTTGAGTCAAGTGAGGAAGAACCTGAAGCGTGTAGTCACGTGCAGTTGTAAGAGAGAGCCCTTTCCTCGAATACAAGAGAAAAGCCAAGAGAAGCAAAACCGACACAAA